ATCTTGGAAGTCCAATGTGGGAAAAAGCCTTTTACCAGCATTTTCCAATAACCAAAAAACCTGTTTCCTGCTTCCTCCCATTAAAAATAAGACGGTTTACCATGTTTTAATTTTCCCCATCTAAAAGTCCCGAAATGTGTATTTAAATCTTGGTAACAGCTTTTCTACATGTAGAAAAATCAACCTGGGGTAAAAAGGTGGAGAAATTAGAAAAATAATCTGATCAAAAATAATCTTCAGGCTGTGTTGGTATGTTTGCTTTGCAGGGTTTGTGATTTGCGTCATGGTGTGGCACGTGTTTGTGCATTGTTTAATGAGGTGTATGCCCCTTTTTTGGGGTGGGGGGGTTTACCAATGATTACAAAATATAGAACAATCACTATATCGTTGTTGCAGAGATTATAATATGTCTTCATCTTGTAAAACATAAAAGTGCTTTAATTATTGTGCTAAGGAATAGGAGATTCGAAGAAAACAACAATTAAAGCATACATTCAACATCCACACACTCAAAACATAAAAATTAAAAAACTGACCCATTTTCATTCGATTTTATATGGACCACAGTGTTTCCCATAACATTGATTTATTTTGTGGCGGGGCCGTCCAATTCAATATCGTCCGCCACAAATGATCCTCATAAAATTAAAAAATAAAAACATATTCTTTTTTAATTATTATTATTATTAATTTTTCTTTGGTGGTCTAACGGATAGTGAGTGGGCTGACGATCGAAGGTTGCGGAGTTCAAATCCTGCCTGGAACACCATACTAAGGTGTGCCTTGAGCAAGCGGTACTTAGCCCTCGGTTACTCCACGGGAGAATGTCCTGTAATTGTTCATTGTAATTCGATTTGATAAGGCGTCTGCTAAATGCCAAATTTGTAAATTATTATTTTTGTGAGAATAAACCCACATTCCTCACTTGCGGGTGTGGTCTCACTCATTATCAACGCAAACAGAGCAACAAGAACGGTCTGTGGGGGGGGGGGGGTGATTGTTGGTTTTTTGGCCCCCACAAATAGAATCAAATTCTGTGGGAAACACTGGACCATTCAAAACAATCTACAATATCTCATGATTGTATTATCTCATGTTTACAGTAACCATTTGTGATTTTGTGTAAGTGGAGAAATAGCCAAATGAAAAACAACACAAAACATTGGAGTCCTATTTCAGGAAATAGATCCTGCAACAGGCTTTTGATGACGCTCATGAGCCATAAACAGCTCCTCAAGATGAAACACAAACACGGTCATATATTACATAACACACAGCCTCTTGGAATGCCTGTCAATATTATCGACTGGCTCAGGATACTGCGTCTTCCCAGAGGTCTTCATGAGGAGGAAGCTGCTGTTCTAGCGCTTGCCTCTTTCTGACACCCACCCTTCACAAGCTTTGAGTATATTTAAACTGAGAGACTAAAATGCACAACACACACAAGCCGAATTCTCCAGATGCCAGGAAAAGCAGCGTCTCCGTTACACACGTGGTACTTGAACAGAACAGGAATTTCACAGCCAGGCCATGCACTGGATACGCCGGATAGGATACCTCCACTCACACGAGCAAGAACACACAGCAGAAACTCCCAGAGTGCATGTGAAAAACAACTCTAGAAAGACGTGAAATGTAGGCGTGGTGTCATGCTAACAAAGTTGTAAATTCCTCAGAGAACACCCTAGAGGGGCGGCTGAGGTGACTCACCTACAGAAAGTATCTCTGTTACACAGAAACTAGACGCACGCTAGGGCTGCTCAATTAATCGTATTTTAAACGCAATTACGATTATGGCTGGCAACGATTACGAAAATAAAGTAATCGAAATAAAACGATTATTTCTTTTTTTCTTTTTAAATAATTTTTTTCAGTTGAGTTATACTTAAAGTTCAGGGTTATCAACTGTTAAAAACATACTGTTCACATTTTTTTTCTCCAATAAATTAATGTTTTCAAAGTAAATGGACAATCGTTTTTTAATAATCGTGATATCAATTATTGACCCAGATAATCGAGATTATGATTTTTGCCATAATCGAGCAGCCCTAACGCACGCTCTGACAAAAATGTCCAACTTGATGAATTATTTGCTCAGAAGAGACATGAGTTAAGTCAAAAGCAAGTGTCATTTGTTAGCATCGGCTCATGTATCACTTGTATATAGACTCTTATGGCACTACTTCTATTTTATTTGTTTTATTGTGTTGCACTGTTGGAGGAGCCTGGAACCTAAGACTGTCATCAACATAACTAAACTGTAGCTATGTACGAATGACAATACAAGCCTTGAATCTTGAATGCAAAAAATAAAAGTGTGTTGACGTGTAATATGCAAAACAAACCAAACAGAGCAACAAAGTGAGAAGTGAACGTGATGCCGTTGGCTGCTGGGGAGCGGCTGAACATGTGATCAGCTGTGAGCTCTGAGCAGGGGCTCGGCAGGGGGAAGTGAGTTATTGTATTTCATTAGTGACCGGATGTTTCCCTCTCTGCCCATTACGCTGCTCATTCACATCATACAGGACCATTTTAGGGTGTTTTTTTTGTTTTAGCTTGTTTTTGATACCACCTTATTTGATGTAATTCAATTCAATTAAAAAACAATCTAG